CCAGTTATCTCAAATTTTAACACCCGCTACACTGTTCTACACTAAGGGCTGCAGGAAACAGGCGTCAGGGCGGGAGGGTTTGATGACCCGCACCAAGTGTTAGTAGAGAACATTACTTACCACGATGGTCAATCACCACGGGTATTGCCCGGCTATAAGAACATTCCAGGAATAAACATGCTCACCTCCTGGCACCCAAAAGCATACAGTACAGGGAATGGCTACCCGAAACAGAGATGACTACGCCGAAAGGGGTTTGATGACTTGCACCAAGTATCGGCATTCAGATGAATTTGCAAGCGGGTATGGGTGTCCATAACAACGAATAAAGGGCTTCTTCTAACCGTCCATGAACAAAGGTTTACCCAGAGCCCATGAAGACATTCGGATGTTCAGCCCCGGAAGAAGTGGCTGAAATGTTAAAACCACACAGTCTGAACATCTCATTTTATTGAAATAAAACAGGGCGAAGAGCGTCATAACACAACATTCATGAGTTTCAACAGGAGGTTGTTCTCAGTATTTGACTAGTACACCGCAGCCTTATATGCCGGGGAGGGAGAGCTGTAAGCAGACTTGTGAACAGGCTTGTAGGCCGGGGCAGCAGCCTTGTAGGCAGGGGTGGGATGGTACTCGGGGTAATGGGCCTCGCCCTCGTAGGTGACCTCAGCGTTGTAGCCTCCGTAGTTGTCGGCGACGTACTTGACGTGCTGGACACGGCCGTCGGGCAGAGCCACCGAGTAATATCCCTGGGTGTTGTGGCCATCGCTCTCCTCCTTCTTGGCGAAGTTGGTGCCGGTGTAGTGGTCATTGACGGCATAGTCATAAGCGAACGGCTGGGCCACCTCCTTGTACTGGGGCTCCGGGTGGTAAGAGGCCGACTTGTAGGATGGGGCGGGGTGGTAGGGGGCCGGAGCGGTCTTGTAGCCCGGCGTCGCCGGTGCCGGGGCGGCGGCAGCAACAGCCAGGACGGCGGCAATGACGAAACCCTGGAATGCCACAAGGGATGTGCTATGATAAAAACAATAAGCCTTGCATTCTGGCATCTTTACTATTCTCAAATGCATCTCGTTAGTATGCTTCTAATGCAACACTGTTTATCAACGCTCCCACCACGATACACTTCTCGGAAAAATCTGTAACATATGACATCTAAGCACACCAACATTATTCGTGAATGAGATACCTGCATGCTGTGTCTTGGTGGGCGAGTGCGCAGTGGAACTGGTGCATGCATCCACAGTGCCTCGGCTTTTATAGATCGGCCGCGGACCGCTGATGGAAGGTCACAAACATTGCCTCACTGATCGTGTGGCTCCCGCTACCACCGGCTGGTCTGGTGACATGATAGGTTAACACGGAACCACGGCCACTGCCGGATACTCGTGCAACTGCTAGAGAGCAATTCAGGCGCCCATTATGTTTCGTGTTCACTTACACATAAAGCCAGATGTTAGCATGTCACGAGAAACGTATCGGTAAAGGTCCATATAGATGGTAAACAACGTATTCTTTGAAACAGCGTGGTCGTATCTTTTGATAACTCTAACGTTCTATCTATACGTATTCACAAACAGACAACACACACACACACACAAATACACACACGCGCGCACACACACACATACACACACACACACACACACACACACACACACACACACACACACACACACACACACACACACACACCACACACACACACACACACACACACACACACACACACACACGCACGCACGCACGCACGCACGCACGCACGCACGCACGCACGCACGCACGCACGCACGCACGCACGCACGCACGCACACACACACACACACGCACGCACACACCCACAGGCTTGCATATATATATATATATATATATATATATATATATAGATAGATAGATAGATAGCTTGTGACCTGCCCACCTGCCAACAGCGAGCAATAAAGCGATACAGCAGGCCGGCTTTGGCCTGGGTCTGACCGTCAGATCTGACCCTAGATCAGTGAACTTTGTCCATTCCATCATTGGGTTACCTAAAAAACTATCTCAGAGATGTATGGCTTTCGTCTAACACTTCGCTGTTCCATCTGATTGAACGGCTCCCTTGATATTGTCTTCACTGAATCCATGACCTGACTTTGACCCGCCGTACGTCAGCGACCTCACAAGGTACATTTAAATTTGTGATGCAAAACAACCCACTATTCAGCTTTCTAGAGCTATGAAGATGAAAGCGAGCCGACCTCAGCGCGTGTTGACACGCGCTCAAGTAGAGGGGCCAACTTGGCCCCCCGAAGGTTTTTTCAGCATGGTCTCCGAACGGCGCGGCGTAGCCACGCCAAATTTGGATAGCTGTGGCCAATTGAATAGCGGATCGTTTGACATAAACATTTAGGTGTACCTTGCAGGGTCACTGACCTATGGCAGGTCAAAGGCAGGCCATGGTTTCGGCGAACGCAATTTCCCGGGCATCGTTCAATCTGATGCAACAACGGTGTGTTTGACGAAACATACAACTCTGAGATGGTTTCTTAGGCACCACAAATATTGAATGAGCAAATTGCGTTGACCTAAGGTCAGGTATGAGCTTAAGACCAAGGTCAAAACCAACCTGATTTATTACTCTAGGACTTGCTATATGGTATAGGTTCTGATGAAATTGAATTCTGATTTCTGTGCTCATTCCGAATTCATTGACAGCAGAAACCGCATTGTACATCCTCCATTGACTTCTTAGAGGTCAAAATAGGTCACGGACCTAAGATGACGCGGATCGACATTTTGTTTTAGGAGCATACTACCTAGCGTAATCTTAGTCGCTTATTCAAATGCAAAACTCAGAGCAGTCTTGTGTAGTTTTTGTCACCATGACCTTCAAAAGGTCAGACAAGGTCAATGAACTCAAATGGACCTGAGACCTTCTGCTTAGAAACAGTTGCTTAGGTCCTGGGGGCGCTTTGGAGGCCAACCTGGAACCTAGGAAGCCCAAACTTTGACCTTAGTGAGTTTACATACAGGTCAAGACACCCTGTAAATCTAGTGTCTCTAGCTTTCTTAGTTCCCGAGATCTCGAGGGGAGAGTTAAATTGACCCCCACCCCCACCCGGTCGAGGGGTATCTACCCGGCCACCCGGACGCGTGTTAAGGTTGCCACGTTTTTCATCAAACTTGTTAAATTATACAAAATCGACTCACTGGTCATATACGTCTACCACTAAGTTTATTCGGCATGAGTACAAAGCACCCCGTTGTTTCTATCGCCCTTTTGCGAATAAGACTTGGGTATGAGTTTTCCCTTTTCGTGCCATCTTCCCCCGACGCACCTAGAGTAAGTTAAGCAAAGATGAAGCGAAAATAAAAAGATGAAGCGAAAATCTTCGGACGCTTTAACCACGTTTATACGACCATCTTTCCGGTGTAAATATATGTAAACAAAAAAGGGCGCCTGCATTCATTCTTGTTTTGTTCCCATCTTTTGCACTAAAGGCGTTTCCATTAACGCCCTTTCAAAGCGCTTCTAAACCAACTTCCATGGCCCACTGCACAAACTCTAAGAAGTAGGTCATGATATATGTTGGTGATACCAATTCTCAGGAATAAGGTTCGTGACGTCACATGTTAAAGCATGCCATAGCCTGGACTAATATAGGAAACGGTCGGAATTTGCTTGTAACTTTTTCGTGACGCTGTACCTATTGCGTTAAAACTTTTTGGTTATCCTTCATTATGATCTGCCTTTGATGAGGAACCAGGCTAACCTGCGTGCCAAAAACTTGGACAGCATGGACAGCATGAGCTTTGAGGCTTTGAGGGTTTGGCTCTGGCTTTGAGTTAAAGTTATTGGGTGGAATCCAGATTCGGCGCACGTCGTATCTGTATCTTGCGAATTAGCGCCTAGTTATGTGTGTGACAACATAACTCGAAATTTAAGTGACATACGCCGATATGCGTGGCATCGATACGTTTTAGTAAGACACGATTCGTATTTGCAAAAGTGAGTTGATAGCTTAATTAGTTAAACAACATTTCGAAACAATGAATACGCGTGCATGCATCTGCCTGGCCAGTCCAGTTTCCGATTTCCGCCCGTGCCTTTCTAAGGAGTGACGTGGGGAGGGGGGGGGGGGGGCATTCTAATGGCACAAGCGACCTCAAGCATTTAGGCTCAGGCATTCAGGCTCAGGCTAAAAAGGCATGGAATTGGATGCCATGTGATCGGACCAGGGCGGGGTTCGGACGAGGCCAAATCTGCTGTCAGCTGGAGATGGAAAGAATGTATACATTACTTCAATAAATGATTCCAAATCTTGGCATAATCGCCTTGGGTTCAGAGTATGGCCATAAAGACATCTATACCAGCCTTTGGCATTATAAACTATATATTCTAGGCCATTTATCTTCCGAGTCACCTGCAGATACTGAATGGTGTGCACATATGCAACCTCATGGGTCACATCATGGTCTACTTCTAGGAGGTGGGCGTGTACCAGGAATTCCGTGCGAATTCGTCAGCACAGCCGGTGACACCGTTGGAGGCGTCCGTCAACTGGAACCTGACCGTGACCGTCTATCAGTGGTTAGCGGCCGAGCTATAAAAGCGAAAGCACCAAGGGAGCCGACACCACTTGCACTGTACACCCGTCCATCAGAACACACTATGCGGGTATGTGCTGGAATAATGTCATGGATATGGTGCCCTGCTGGCTACTGGATAATTTACTTCAAGCCATGTACACTCTGGGGTTAGCGATGTGGTATGCATTGCACAGATAGCGAGGTTATAACATATCGTACAAAACAGCTCCGCTGGATTGGTTGCTTCATCCGTCAAACATCCTCTCACTGTATTGCAGGGTCTCGTCATTGCCGCCGTGCTGGCTGTCGCCGCCGCCGCCCCGGCTCCGGAGACGCCGGGCTACCAGCCCGCTCCGGCCCCCCACCACCCGGCACCCTCGTACAAGCCGGCCTCTTACCACTCGGAGGCCCAGTACAAGGAGGAGGCCAAGCCGTTCGCTTACGACTACGCCGTCAACGACCACTACACTGGTACCAACTTCGCCAAGAAGGAGGAGAGCGATGGTCACAACACCCAGGGATATTACTCGGTGGTTTTGCCCGACGGCCGTGTCCAGCACGTCAAATACGTCGCCGACCACTACGGCGGCTACAACGCTGAGGTCACCTACGAGGGAGAGGCCCAGTTCCCCGAGTACCACCCTGCTCCTGCCTACAAGGCTGCTGCCCCTGCCTACAAGGCTGCTGTTCCTGCCTACAAGGCTGCCGCTCCTGCCTACAAGATTGCCGCCCCAGCCTACAAGTCTGCTGCTCCTGCCTACAGGGCTGCCGCTCCTGCCTACAAGGCTGCCGCCCCAGCCTACAAGGCTGCTGTTCCTGCCTACAGGGCTGCCGCTCCTGCCTACAAGGCTGCCGCCCCAGCCTACAAGGCTGCTGCTCCTGCCTACAGGGCTGCCGCTCCGGCCTACAAGGCTGCTGCCCCAGTCTACAAGCCCGTTTACAAGCATGCTTACAGCTCTCCCACCCCGGCATACAAGGCTGCGGTATACTAGTCAACCACTGAGAATGATTTCCTATTTAAGTGCATGGATGTTGTGTTGTGATGATTTCTGACCAGCTGTATTTCAATGCAAGGAACTACGATCTGGACTAACAAACTATGAACTATGGACCACGTGGTGTTGACTGAAGCGATCATGCGTTTTCCAGTGGGATAATTTCATTGATGCCGCCTCCGTGGTCTTTGCCGCCTCCGTGGTCTTGGGGAAAGATGCTGGACTCGTAATCCAGCGGCACTGGGTGCGAGTCCCAGAGTGGGCGCAATGTTTGACCCGACTGAAAGGAAAGGCCAGCTGCCACCTGGCCAACAAGGTTCAACCCAGACCCAAGGCGGCCGTGTCGCAGCATTGTGCGGCACGTAAAACCCTCCGCATCCCTGTCTGGCGAAAGGGCGGAGGCAAAATTAGCTGTTGAATTGGACGGCACGTTTGGGTGGTGGGTTTGGGGTACACGCAACAAGCTATGCTTAGCAGGTACTCTGAATCCGAAAAAACCCTTACAAACCATTCGGAATAAATTTAAAAAAAGATGTGACTGTGTTAAGGAATTGGCCTTTGAATGGCATATTAATGCAGCCCCAGTGGGTGTTCTAAGTTAGGATGTGGATGCGTGAGAGAGAGGGCCATTTTAGTCAGATCACCGGAAGAGGAACGATGCTAAATATTCAGAAACTTAGTAGAGGGGCTCTGTTCCCCGCTCCTCGTGGTTTCCGGGCACCTAGGTCGCTTGGTGCGATGAGTCATCTTTTCATCAGTTGTAAGAAAAAACCGTCATGATGGTTACGCTGACAAGCGATTCGTACCCACTTTTAACTTTTTTCTCACCCAAGCAATTTGTGTTTGGTAAAGGTTGTGCCCAAATTCCCCGAAAAGCGGGTATCAAGTGCTGGATTTTTTCAAATTTTTCTACCATGCGATGACCTGATTGGAATGAATAACAATTCGTTTGCTCGTTTCTGTAATAACTCCACGACCGTTCCAGGCAGAAAGGTGTGAGACTGACACAACGTTCCCAGCACTCAGCCTCACCGCAATTGTCTGGGTTGTCCGGGCCGCCACTGCGTACGTCACACACGTCAGTCACGGGGACGCACAGCCGATGAGTTCCACAAAAGTCATGGTGCCAAGCCGACCCCAGTTTGAGTTGACAGAAAAGGCGTGCGGAAAATACACCGGACTAAAATGGAGTGGGAAAGGACTTTTGGAACACCAGCCGTCTCCATTTAGGCATCAGATCGCGGAAAGAAACCCACACCTCACACGCATCACACGACCAGGCAGAGCTGCAACCGAGCGTGATGACTTCACTGGTGGCGCTGAGATGATGTACAAATGTGTTGAGGAAGTGCTGCTGTACGACTCCAACATCGAGCAGGCCTTCTCGATGATTATAATCTCATGGTCTCTAATATACGGATTAGAGACGCAAGGTTCTCCAGTATATCAGCCCGCAACCCAGCCCGCCCCGCCCAGCTTGAGATCCAGCCCAAAAAGCCCAGTATAATACATTGCTCATCCATCTAAATACACTTAAACGTTTGATAGCAATCGATCCGCCACTCAATCTAACACAGCTATGCAAAATGTGGCACCCATTTGCCGCGCCGCTCGAAAACCATTCTGGAAAACATTGGGGGGTCAAAGTGGCTCCGACCCAAGCGCGTGTTGAGCTATTGCACATGCATGCTATTATTTCAGACTTTTTTAGACTTATACATCTACACGCGCTCTGGTGGAGGCCAAGCCGGCCCACACCCCGAAATTTTTTTGGAGCGGAAAGGAAGGTGAAAAACATCATGATATGGATGCCCGGGCCACCCTGACAGAGTCTCACCCAAAATGCTGAGCACATCGTCGCGGGCGTGTAGGTCAGAAACTAGAGTGGATAAGGGGGTAAGGGGGGCCAGGATGCGAGCTGTACTGAATTATCTTCAAGACTGGCTTTTTTAGTTCAAAATCGCATACAAACGCGAAGAATTTCCCTTTTTCTTCCCTCGTTTTTAAGACATGTCAAGATGTATCATTAAGCTTACTAACCACGGTGCATGAAGGGGGAATGAGAAAAGATACTGACTACCCAGCTATAGTGTATGATTGTGGTATAATGGTGTGCGTATATACCGTATAGTGGTGGTCGGCCACGTCAGCTAATGTTGAAAATTTCAGAGAAATTTGAAACGTTGACACTCGACCTCTATGGACATTGACTGACAACAACGTTCCAAAATGTTCGGGGGGTTCGAATGTCTCTGCGTCAATCTGTTCTGAAAACGGTCGTCACTTCAAAACGTATTTCATCCTAACGATATTATCAAAATCATGAAATCGTTGTCATTAGCTTTGGGAACATGAACGTAGGTTGACACAGCTGTGTCACCGGAACGCGCACAATGGAAACGTCATGAGCATTTGGGTTAAAACTACCGTGCTTGACCAGTTTATTTTATTTTGATAAAACAGATCAGGTCACAAAAAGTATCCTAACACGGAACTCAACCGCTTAAAATAGTGTTTGTTCTCAGCGTCTGACCAGTTTGCCGCAAGCTTGAATCTCAGAGATGGATAACCTGCAATCAGGCTTGCATTTAGGCTTGTTTACTAGGACGTGGTTATATTTTTGAAAGCAAAATTTTGCTCTAAGTAACAAGAATTGTTATCATATTTAAGATCTGCTTAAAGGTATAGGCATGACGTGGGTCCTATGAACTAAATAATCATAAGCCGGTGTTTATCTGATAAAAATAGCTGAACTCCATTCATGAAGAATGATGTGTGACTTGCTCTCTTTCCTCTCTTACCGTCAATACCTTACCCTCTCTTACCGTCAATAGAACAGATGCAGTAACGCGGACACAATCAAATGCAGAAGGTAAAACACTCTCCACGCTCGCCACTCCCTCGCACCACCGTCGGCGTCATGACCCGTTTAAGCATTAATCGTATTGCAGTTGTTTGCCGCTTCAAGTTGTCACACACTTCATCAAACCTGTCAGTAACTCATAGACAATCGGCTCGCGAGTCACATACGTCTGCCACCAAATTTATTCGGTAGGGGCACGAAACTGCCCGTTGTTCTTGCCGGCCTTTTGCGAATAAGACTTGTGTATGATTATTTACTTTTAGTGTCATTGCACACATAGATCACCACCTGGACAAGAAAATCCCATCATGGTATTCGCCATCGAATTCTGCGCTATTGGCTCGCTAGTCATGTGCACATTCCTCTAACGGGTTGCTCACTATCTGCGCAAATAATTCTGATTTCTGTTTGCAACCTTAGCATTATATTCAGACTCCAGCGGCCCAGCGCATTGAAGTCTTGGCACCAGTGACGTCACGGTAGTTTTTATGAGCCAATGCAAGGCTGCTGTTTTCGTTCCCCAACCGACCTTGAGTAAGCTAGGCGAAGATGAAACGGTAATCACCGGACGCTTTTACCACGCTTATACGACAATCTCTCCGGTGTAAACATATCAAAATGTGCCTACATCCATTCCTACCTTGTTCCAATCTTTTCCAGTAAAGGCGTTTCCATTAATGCCCTTTTAAAGCGCTTCCTAACCACATTTCGTGGCCTAATTCACGAACTATCAGAAGAAGGCAAATTTTAGGCAAAATGGTTTGTGACGTCACGTTTCGAGACATGCCATAGCCTGTACTAATCTAGGAAACGGTCGGAATTGTCCTGCAACTTTCTCGTGATGATATGCCTATCGCGTTATAAAACATTTTAGCTATACTTCATTGCGATTTGCCCATGATTAGGAACATGGAAAACCTACCTGCAAAAAGCTTGGACAGCATGGAAACCCTGAGCTTTGAGGCTTTTGGGCTTTGTTCCGTCTTTGCCTTTGTAAGGAATGTTGTGCGGAGGAGGGAGAGCATCCTAATGACATGAGCGCTCTTAAACATTCAGCCTCATACCTTCACACGATACCTATTCTCCCATATTCTGGTTTCTCCTCGGACTTAACCCACTATATAATTGCTTTCGGACGAAATACGGCCGAACGGGCAGCGAATTGGATGCGATATAATGGGCCAAAAGCTTTGGAGGAGGCTAGAGCTGCTGTCAGCTGGGGGTGGGAGAGAATTTGAAAGATCTCAGATGAATGATTCAAAATCAAATGCATGAATCAAAATGTTCGCCTTGGGTTCAGCGCAAGTCCAAAAAAAGATCAACACGAACCTGCTGAGTCATAAGCTATATGTTCCCGGCCATTTACCTTCCGACTTACCTGCAGAAATTGAATGGCGTGTACATGTGCAACTGCATGGGTCACATCATGGTCTACTTCTAAGAGGTGGGCGTATACCTGGAATTCCTTGCCAATTCGTCAGCACAGCCGGTCACACCGTTGGAGGCGTCCGTTTACTGAAATCTGACCGTGACCGTCCATCAGTGGTTAGCGGCCGACCTATAAAAGCGAAAGCACCAAGGGAGCCGACACCACTTGCACTGTACACCCGGCCTTCAGAACACACCATGCAGGTATGTACTAGAATAGTACCATTTACATGGTGCTCTGCTGGCTACTAGAGAGTTTATTTCAAGCCATGTACACTCTGGGCTTAGCGATGTGATATGCATTGCACAGATAGCAAAGTTATAGTATATATCGTACAAAACAGCTCTACTGAATTGGCTGGTTCATCCGTCAATTACCCTCTCACTGCATTGCAGGGCCTCGTCGTTGCCGCCGTGCTGGCTGTCGCCGCCGCCGCCCCCGGCACCGGAGACGCCGGGCTACAAGCCCGCTCCGGCTCCCTACCACCCGGCCCCCTCCTACAAGCCGGCCTCTTACCACCCGGAGCCCCAGTACAAGGAGGAGGCCAAGCCGTTCGCCTACGACTACGCCGTCAACGATCACTACACCGGCACCAACTTCGCCAAGAAGGAGGAGAGCGATGGCCACAACACACAGGGATATTACTCGGTGGCTCTGCCCGACGGCCGTGTCCAGCACGTCAAGTACGTCGTCGACAACTACGGCGGCTACTAACGCTGAGGTCACTTACGAGGGAGAGGCCCAGTACCCCGAGTACCACCCCTGCTCCTGCCTACAAGGCTGCTGCCCCTGCCTACAAGCCTGTCCACAAGCCTGCTTACAGCAATGCCGCCCCGGCATATAAGTCCGCTGTATACTAGCTGCATGGTGACAATGGTCGCCTATTTAAATCTATTTATGTTTGTGCTGCCTTGTTTTTCGTTTCTGCCCTCTGTAACTGCAATAAAAAGATTTGGTCGAGTCTTGCTGTTTTGACCCAAGTTATTCTAAGTTTTCCACCGTTCAAATGTCTCTGAGCCGGTTGTCAGAAAAGACGTCTATATGGACCAAAGGCAACCTCCACAGTCGCTGTTCCTATAATGACTATTTAGCAGGCATTGTGAGTGCTTGCAACGTTTCACCCTTACTTGCTGCCGAAATTTTCAGTGAGATAGTCAATGAATTCAAAGAGGTCATTTTCCGGAACCAGAGTTTCTACTATCAATTGAAGTGGTGTCATGTGAAGGCATTACGCTAGAAGTGTCTAAAAGGTGGTTATCAGAGCACTGTCCTATTAAGCACCCCTGGCCCGCTGATTTCTGAGGGGTGAGAACATCTCCTCCCTTCTTATTGGAGCGACCCCGAACCGTGCTAAGTAAGTGCACTATGTTTAGAGTGTCGCCAGGTGGTGAAGCTGCCACGTTATGTGAGTAATGGGCTCTCGGTGTTAAATTTTGGCACAGGATTATGAAGTCCACAGGAAGAATCGTAAGACATGTTCGTTTCCACTCGCTACAATTCTCAATTTGTTCCGCGTCTTGAAGTATTTAACCTTGATATATGTGCGGTACGTATACGCTGCTGAAAGGCATAGAGAACAAAACGCATTGAAATATCATTTTGTTTGGTGTGTGTTGGGTGGGAGGGGGTGGGGGTAGCCTGATGCATGCATGCCGCGGGTTGTTTCACATTCGGGTAATGATGTTAGATAAATAGCTTTCATTGCTTTGAATTTCGAGATGCTGGCGACACTTTGGTGATGACCAAAATGTTTGGCTTAAAGTCAATACTTTTAGACTTGGCTTAGGCTGAATCATGCAGACCTTAGTTCTTATGTTGTCAGCGTGTCGCCAGTCGACGATTGTTATTGGGTAAATCGAAGTAAAATGGAACTGCAACATAATTGAGTGATAGGCATCCTGTCATGAAATTGTACAGCAAATTCCCATTACTTTCTAGGTTTTCATACCTCTTCTTGAGTCTACTATGTGTTGCAATGCGTCATAATCTTGGTTAAATAAGTCCTCTCTTAAACTAAAGCTATCAAGCACTTTTGAAAACATTTTTGTGTAAGACCTTAAGTTTGGTTCGGCAGTGCGAAAGGTTCCTTAATGGAACCACTGTCACTGTAAAAGTGAAACACAAGACGGGGAATAAACGCAAATATCGTAAAGCACATTTACACTGGGATGATAGTAGCGTGCTTTCTGACGTGTTGCCAATGTTTTTTTCAGGAATATAGCACGTCATCAAAGACTTCACAAAGGATGCTATCAAACATTGATATCAGCCTGCAATATGATCTTGAAATAAAAGTGGCATGTGGTATTCCGAGCAGCTTATTCATATGTGTGATCCCGCGCAGCAAATCAAATCACTCCATTCCGGTGAGGGCGTTAAGAACGCTTCAGAAGCTTTACTTCCTGAGGTCCGGACAAAGGAGCGATGCCGAATGTAAGTCAGCGACGAGCCGAAGTACAGACACACCCCACACAGCACAAACTGCATAGTGGATTTTGGACGCATTAGCTATCTTAGCTATTTGCAAACGGCACAAGCATATATGTAAAGCACAAATCAGAGTCAGGGAGACCGACTTGTTCTTGTTCAACGGTATGAACATTGGCCTGCATATTTTTCAAGTCTTGCCCAAATACAATGTCATGTACAAAGTACGGCATAATAATGGAGGTATGAATTGCTCTCCAACAGTTGCACGTGTGTCCGGGACTGACCGTGGTTCCGTGCTAATGAATGGTGCCACGATTCCAGCCGGTGGTAGCGGGAGCCGCACGATCAGTGAGGCAATGTTCGTAACCTTCTATCAGCGGCTCGCGACCGATCTATAAAAGCCGGAGCACTGTGGAGGCATGTACCAGTTCCACTGCACACTCGGCCACCAAAACACAGCATGCAAGTACATGCTTGAAGACAGTAGTTGGTGTGGCGCCTTGTCACATGTGAGAGACCATTCGGGGAAATTCATTGCGGTCGGTGCAATGGTGAAATGTCGCACCAGAAACCTAGGTATGAGATGAATGATAAAAAAACAAATACACCGCAGTGGCTGACTTATTGATAGCACATCTCACTTATTGACTATATTGACTTATTGAGGCGTAGGCGTACAAACTCACTTCGGCCCACTATCACCCGGCCCCGTCCTGCAAGCCTGCTTCTTACCATCCGGAGTCCCAGTACAAGGAGGAGGCCAGGCCGTTCGCCTACGACTACCCTGTCAACGACCACTTCACCAGCACCAACTTCGCCAAGAAGGAGGAGAGTGATGGCTACAACACCCAGGGATATTTTTTACTCAGTGGCTCTGCCCGATGGCCGTGTCCAGCACGTCAAGTACGTCGCCGACAACTACGGCGGCTACAACGCTAAGGTCACCTACGAGGGAGAAGCCCAATATGCCGAGTACCACCCCGCCCCTGCCTACAAGGCTGCTGCCCCGGCTTACAAGCCTGCAAACAATCATACCTTTAGCCATCCCGCTCCGGCGTACACGCCTGCACCGTACTAGTTAAATACTGAGTTTGCCTTGCTATTTAAACGCATGAATGTTTGGTTATGATGCTCTTTGACTTGTCTTATTTCAATGAAATGGGCTGCTGAGACCGTGTGGTTTAACATATCAGCCACCTTTTCCATGGCTGAACATCATAATGTTATCATGGGGTCTGGGTTAACCTTTATTTATGAATGTTTAGAAGTAGCCTTATACTCGTTGTTATGGACACCCATGCCCGCTTGCCAATTCACTTGCATACCAATACCCGGTGCGAGTCATCAAAACCCTTTCGGCAAAGCCGTCTGTGTTTCGGGTAGCCCTTAGCTGTACCGTATACTTTTGGGTGCAATGACGTGAGCATGTGCGTTGGTGGAATGTTCTTATAGTTCGGCAATGTCCTTGGTGATTAATCATCGTGGTAAGTAATGTTCTAGACTAACACTCGGTGTGGGTTATCGAACCCTCCCGCCTTGACGCCTGTTTCCTGTAGCCCTTAATGCGGAACAGTGTATCGGGTGTTAGGATGTGAGATCACGGATGGCTGGCCATTTTTGACATGTTTTAGTAACATTGCCTGCACGGATTCGGAGCAATGCCTAAGTTATCGTGCATTAGTTGCGAAAAATATGTGTACATGCAAATGAATTGAAGTAAACAGACATCGAACATCACCCATCATTCATTCATGCGTGCATTCATTGTGGCGGCCATTTTCAGACAATCACACTCAGGCTGAAATTCAAGGCGGTATGAACACCATACCCCTTTTTTCAAAGTCCTCTAGAAAGCCAGGGTCATCCAGACAGCAAAATAAGAAGACCCATTCTTACAAAAAATCGGTGACGAGCCCCTATAGTGCGGGCCTTATTGACCAATTACGCAAATGTAATAAGTGTTTTCATGCGTGATGCGTGCTAGCTTAAAACCGTCAATATATATGAGCGATGTCTGATGCGTGATGGCTGAGGCCTAATCGCTTGAAATCGTTTGCATGTATGAGTGATGCGTGATGCGTGATTCTTGCTTATTTGAATTCGTTTGCGAGTACAGGTACTTTTCGCGCATTTTAATCGAAAGTTGGATATACACTGCGTCGCGAAAATGATGGCAATGCTCCTTACCATGAATGCTGGTGAACTGTAAAAAATACGACTCGCTGTTTTTAAAAAAATCAAGTGGAATCGGCCTGCAATTTTGAATTCACTGCTTATATTTATTATTATGTAGCATGTAGCTGGAAAATCAATGCATCTATATCTCCTCTGTTCTGGTTACTGTACGTAGAATAAGGCTAATGGTACAGCCTTATCTATGGGTAAAATGTTCCACGCAAATGCACTTAATAACTTACGCAATCAGTCTCTGCCAGAAAAGTCGTTTAGCCGGGACATACTTATATATTAAAGGGAGCGTTCCATCTTTATTTCTGGTCTTAGCTGAAATAGCTATTTTGGATATTATTCGGTGCAGTTCACGGCCCTGAGCTTCTTAACACCTAAAGCCCTCTGGTTTCTGGGCTATACGCCCGCGAAGATATGGAGACGTTTTCGTGCAGACTTTTGAGGGCATTCAGGCATGCATGACGTCATAAAAGGGTCATTCCAATCCTGCCGCTTCACAGGTCAGGCGGTGTTCAAGGCGAAGAATATTATTGTACAGCCGTTGAGACCTGACGTCCGTGAGCGCAGTTTTCAAATATAATGGACGTCAATTCGCTCTCAAACAGTGTTAAGCAAGCTGCGCAAGGTAGGACAGTAGTAATAGCCTTATTTCTCGGAGAAAAATCAGGAGAATGGAGATATAGATGGGTTCATATTTCGATAAAGGCATATTGCTGAAAGATCAAACCATCGATGTCTTTATTCTCCCTGTTTTTCTCCAGGGGAATAAGGCTATTCCTGCAGTCTTATCTATGCGAATAATATTCCTCGAAAATGCACTTAACAACTTACAACTCGCAAAAACTTCAATCGCAAAGCACACTTTGTGCTTCTTAATTTAGGAGGTTGGACTTGGTTCTTTGCCGGCTAACTATAGCAAAATTAGCACTTGCAATCGAAAAACTTGATAGGACGAGCCCATGAGGACAACTGGGTAAGCAAAAAATTATTGCCCGTGCTGCCATCTGTTCGCGAGCATGAAGTACTGCAAGCAACTGCAAATTTCAGCAGCTTGTTTGGCGGTACTACAACGTTGTGCAAACGTTCCGTGACGCAATTAAACACTGCCGTATTAAGGAGCATGCTTACTAAATAGATAATTGTGCTGCCTAGAGGGTTCTTTCCACTTTCCAAAGCAGATCAATAGTTATCAGTGAGATAATTTCATTTTATGCTCGGTCCGTTGCGGACGCGTCAGTTCCTTGTTCCGCTGCAGACCATGATGACGGTACTCCGAGATCACGGCGGCCAAAACACCCTCTCCCGGCGCCAACCTGCCTGCAGGCGGCAATGCGTAATCGGACAGGTTTTGCCGTACAGATGTGAGCTCTTCATTGGCTGGTGGTGTGAACAGAACCATAGCGGCGCCAAAACGGCCGAGTGCAGCGAGCCGCTCCAGCGTGACCGAACGAGAGGTCACGTGCCGCTTCTCCCTTTCGCGAGACAGGGGACGGAGAGCGGGCGCGCCGCCCGCGTGGCCGCCGACGCCGACGCGGCGCGGTCCGTGCCCGCCGCCGGCCGCCGACGAGGCTCGGAGCGGCTCGGTCCGGCCGCACCAGGTGGGAGACGCTGTCGAGAGGCGATCTGACGAGCGCTTTGCCGTCCGCCGTTCAGATAGGGTGAGTGCCGACGCCCGGCGTTACAGCCGGGTCTGACTCATCCTCACGTTGTGCCGCCTTACAGACATGGCCCACGCCAAAACCTCAATGGTGCAATACAACAGACGCAACTGCGCTGCCACATCGGACGGGGTGGCATAAAACCGACTCAAGAGTGCGGCTCCAACGGACGTGTCAGGCCCCGAGCCAGGGGACGCACCACGAAACAAAAAGCGAGGTTGGAAAGAAACGTACCTTATGTCTCGGAGCGTTGCATGCGTCGGTGATTAAGGAAGCGCACTGCATCATAACTACTTCAATACCAGAGCCTGTATTCAACAATTCCAGCTATAGTGAGGACCAAATTCCCGACGCAGTGCAGACCTCAGGTTCCAAACAGCATTTATGTCCTCTTCTGAAAGCGCATCCATCACCGCAATCCGCGTGCCGGGGCCAAGAAGCACCTTCCCCACAGATGTCGTCTCATCCCCCACCCCAGCCCGATATGTATCTAACCGTCCGAAGAAGTCTTCACCTCTTCTCCACCAAACCCACGCGAATTTCACCTTGGACCTCAATTTCACATGTTCCCACTCGCTGTCACGCGCCCGTGACAAACACGCCCTCTCGCCGGGTCAGAAAACGGCCGTCCCGATGACCACTGACCGTGGCGGCCCGCTCGGCCCACGCCTCCGGCGGGTGGCCGCAGGGGCGGGCCCAGGTAAGCCCATTAGTAGATCGCATATTGGTAAGCGTACTAGTAACGCACCATTGCCACAATGTGTGACGGGTCTTGCTCGTTAGCTTCCCACCGCCTGTGAGTTGGTTTCATCGTATCTGATGCCTGCTTCAATATTTCCAAGTGTGGAGCAATGCTTTTAAATGGTCCATAATTCAGCATAACTTTAGACTCATATGACCATTAAATCTGTTTTAATCTCTGTCGTTATTTCAATTTCATTATTTCAAAAACACATTTGTTGCTTCGTGAGTTAGAAAAAAACATGCAAGAACGAGATATCCGTTATGATGGTTCACATCGCCCTTCAAGCGGATTGGTGAGCTTGAGAAGTTAAAAAGTAGATGATGTAATTGTGAATGGTCGTCACCCAAGAAATATCATTAAGAGAATCTGATGCTGCGCCAAAGAAAATGGGTCTCCACGGCATTTTACTATTGCTTAAATTTGTTGCACTCAATAGTAATGTTTGCCCTAAAGTGGATAATCGCACGGCTGTGAGCAGGGACGAGGGCGATGCAAATATGCGTGATTTTGGGTGAGTATATACTGTGTCCAGCTCGCAGACAAGCCAATATCTTCTCCCATGATGGCTAAAGTGTCATGTCACAATTGATGTCATGAAGCAGCGTTCTAGCGTTGTTTGTCCATCGTCGTAGCCAAAATGTTTTATCGTTGTCCGAGTTGAACACTAATAAATTTAGAATCAACGGAAATTTATGTGATGCGAAAGGGCCAAAGCTTCTTGAGCCAATGGACCTGCCTGCTTAATCCCCATAATGCCTCTATAACCTGGAGAACACAGAAAATCGATTACGAATTTGAATGGCTAATGTCATGTCTTTTGAGTATAATATATGATTTATGTAAGTAATGTGTGCATGTCCTATGAGAGTAAGACATGATACGGATTGATGATGTGGACAAGCCAGTGAGGAGCAACATCTGGGCAGTTAAACGACTTTACATCTGCCTTGTAACGTGGACAGATCGCAATTGTGCTCGGAGAATGAACGTGTTGCTGACTGTCTTGAAACGCAAGAAGAAGAGCAAACAGCTCTGCCTAGTAAACGGAGCTGCCATTTGATAACCGACAGTTTTTTAAGCAACCCTCGTGTTAAATTATCGAACATTCGGGGTGATCATTAAACTGAGAACAATCGGTCTACACAGCACAGCTTTTTTAATAAATGACAATTAAATTATTCAACGTTCGTTAAATATAACCTGTTGTGACGCACTGTTTCAGATTTTTAGGAACGTGGCTGAGTATAATTAATAGTGTTACCGTAGTGTTTCGGATGGCAGCCAGAGGCTGAAGAGCGTATTCATTGCTCCCCTGCATGTGCCACGTGCCGTATTTAATGATAAGAAGAGCCAAAAATTTGTGTAAACGTACTTAAGTGTGGCGGTCGGCTCCGTACAGTGATCCAGAGATGCGGCGGACGAAATTCAGTGTTTTGAATCGTTTGGAATGAGCATGCTCCACGCACGTTGGCAATGAATCTTAGGGCAAGTGCGACACCGATAAGCTTAAAAATAAAATTAAAGAGCATAACTGACCCAACAATAACTGAAAATTGCACAAAATGCAGCATGCTCCCGAAAATGTAAATGACATTTGCCACAGCCGGATGAGATAAATTCGCATGCTGGAAACGCAATAATACTTTTGTCAGAGCCGCATAACTCGAGCAGATCATTTTATTAAAATGCAGCTGGTCAGGAAGCGACAAGTGTTGTAACCTACACAGTAAGAAAATAACATGAGGAACCGTTCTCACCCTGTGACTAGTACGTCGCTGGCTTGAAAGCCGGGGCGGGAGCTCTGCTTTAGCTATGCTCCCGGGCGGGAGCTATGGGAGCTATGGGAGCTATGCTCCGGGGCGGGAGCTCTGAGACCCATTTTCTTGCTTGCTCTGCTTTCGCTTTTATAGGTCGCTCGCTCACGACAGGTAGACGATCCACGGTCAGGTTCCCAGTGAACGAGTGGCTCCCAGTGCCGCAGGCTGTCCTGACGAAATCGTATGGAATGGCCTGGCACACCCCCGCCCCAGAGAAGTTTGGCTTAATGTGATGGTTAAGCTGGGTCATGATTACACAGGATGTTGGGTGCACACAAGTGAGTGCCAGGCTCAGGGTGTATTCAGGAACTTTTGCTGGGAAGCAAATCCGGTGACCGAAAGGGGGGAGGGGGGTTAGATGTGAAGGTCTTGTCCACTATTAATTCATGTAACATATATTGGAAACGGTTGAAATATCGTGTTTGCAATGCTAGATATACATCTACGGCTGTTTCTCACTGGTGCACAATCGTACCCGCTCGGCTCATCTTTGTCATTCGGCAAATAAGGCTATTCAGCTGCCCAAAATTATTCGGCCACTTCACCATTGTTTTCTCTGGGGAGGCGAAATTCCACGAGCGGAAAGGCATTTTGCTGCAGCTACATTTTAATAAAATGATCTGCTTGAGTTATGCGGCTCTGACAAACGCATTCTCGCGTTTCCAGCATGCGAATTTATCTGATCCGGCTGTGGCAAACGTCATTTGCATTTTCGGGAGTATGCCACATGTTGTGCACTTTTCAGTCATTGTTGGATCAGATTATACTCTTTGTTCTATTTTAAAGCTAATCGGTACCGCACTTGCCCTAAGATTCAGTGCCAACGTGCGTGGAGCATGTTCGTTCCAAACGCTTGAAAACACTGAAGTTCGTCCGCCGCATCTCTGGGTCACTGTACGGTGCCGACCGCCATATTTAAGTACGTTTGCATGCATTTTTGGCTCTTATCATTAAATACGGCTCCATGGCATATGCAGGGGATAGCAATGAACACGCTCTTCGGCCTCTGGCTACCATCCAAAACACGTTATTGCGGATTATACAGGAGTATTGCGTACGTCTCAAGTTCAGCGTTTGGAATGGACGTCCCACGTTATGCTCCTAGCTATCCGACGAAAGGAATACATTTTGCGATATGTAACAAAAGTGCCGCAGGCTCGCAAAGAAACAAACAACAAACAAACATTGTCTATTGTAGCACTATAAATTATACCCGAGCACCTTCCTAAAGATCTCAAACTGTTCGTCAAAACAGCTTATATTTACCAAACGTGGAATAATCCAATTGTCATTCATTCAAATAGCTATGTTTTGTAAACCGATGGTTCCAGATTAAATGACCGCCCTGACTGTTCAGTAATTTGTTACGATGGTTGCTTTAAAGGCAGTCGGTTATCAAATGGCACCTCCTTTTACTTGGTAGAGCTGCTTGCTCTTTTTCTTGCGTTTAAACATCGTCAGCAGCACATTCATTCTCCGAGCACAACTGCGATCTGTCTGGGTTACAAGGCAGATGTAAAGTCGCTGAACTACCCAGACGTTATTCCCCACTTACCTGTCCATCTCATCAATCTGCATCATATATTACTCTCACAGGACATGCATATATTACTTACGTATACCATATATTACACTCACAAGACATGACATTGGCCATTACATCTTGTATTATATTTTCTGTGTATTCCAGGTTATAGAAACATCATGGGGATTAAACGGGCAGGTTCATTGACTCAAGAAGCTTTGATCCTTTAACATCACATTAATCCCCGCTCGTTCTAAATGTATTCGTCTTCAACTCTGACAATGATAAGACATGTTTCACTACGACAATGGACAAACGGCACTAGAACGCTGCTCCATGACATAAATTTCTGCATGACACTTTAGCCATCAATGTATCGTAAAGGCCTTTTGGAGAAGAAGGTGTTGGCTTGTCTGCGAGCTGGACACAGTATATACTCATCCAAAATCACACATATTTGCATCGCCCCGTCCCTGCTCGTAGCCGTGCAATTATCCACATTAGGGCAAACACTGGTATTGAGTGCAACAAACCTAAGCAATAGCGAAATGCCGTGGATACCAATTCCTTTCGCACAACATCAAATCCTCTTCAAAATCTTTATTAGTGGCGACCATTCACAATTGCTCGATCCACTTTTCAACTTTCTCAAGCTTGCCAATCATGTTCACGCGATATAAGCGATCGTAACGGATACCTCGTTCCTGCATGTTTTTACTAACTCACGAAGCAACAATGCGCATTTGAAATAATGAAATAAAAAATCACGACCGACATGAAAAACAAAACTTTAATGATTATACCTGAGTACGAAGTTATGCTGAGTAATCGACCTTTAAAAGGAATGCTCCAGACTTGAAAACATGAAAGAATGCATCAGATACGATGAAACAAACTCACAGGCAGTGGGAAGTTAACAAGGAAGGCCCCTACCCATATTGCAATATAGCGCGTTACTAACGGGCTCACCTGGGCCCGCCTCTGCAGCCACCGCCGGAGCCGTGAGCCGGCCGGCCGCTACGGTCAACGGTCACCGGGACGGCCGTTTTCTGACGCCGGCGAGAGCGCGTGTTTGTCACGGCGCGTGACACTGAGTGGGGGCATGCGAAATTGAGTCCAGGGTGAGATTCGCGAGGAGTGGTGGAGAAGAGCTGAAAGACTTCTTCTGACGGTCGGATACATATCGGCTGGGGGTGCGGGATGAGACGACATCTGTGGGGAAGGCGCTTCTCGGCCCCGGCATGCTGATTGCAGTGATGGGTGCGCTTTCAGAAGAGGACAGAAATGCTGTTTGGACCCTGAAGTCGGTGCTGCGTCGGGAATTTGGTCCGTACTAGAGCTGGAATTTTTTAATTACAGGCTCTGGTATTGAAGCATCTTTGGTTTGATGGCGATGCGTTTGGTGGTGCGTCCCCTGACGCGGGGCCTGACACGTCTGTTGGAACCGCTCTTCCGAGTCGGTTTTTATGCCACTCCGTCCAATGTGGCGACGCGGTTGCGTCTGTTGTGTCGTACCATTCATGTTCTCGCGTGGCCCATGTCTGTAAGGCAGCACAGCGTAAGGGTCAGACCTGGCTGTGAGACCAGGACCCCGTTCTTCTGACCAAATGGAAGCCCGTTCCTTACTTCGAGTAAGCCCGGTCGATGGATGACGTAACTACCGACTTACCTATGACGTCACGGCCCAAGTCCATTCCCTACTTCGCCGAGAGGCTAAGTGCGGTAGCTCGTGGTTATTTACATAGCAACTCATAGCAACGCCCGCGACGCATTTGCGGATGGGGTAGGGTGGACGTGGAGGGTTTCCTCGAGGCCCCTAGATCTGCCATTTATAAGTTACGCTATTGCCATAGAGTGGTTTACTACTGTTCGTTGACAAATGCATTAGTCAGACTTATTTGCTTTCCCTTAATGGTTGTTCGTTGGGGGTTGCAGGCCACGGCATACCTGGTCGAGACGCAGTAGGTACACTAATGTGTCAGCCATCATTGCCTGCTCAGTGATTCGATCGCAAATGCACACTTATAGGCATTGTCACTTAACTCCTTTGCCCAGGTGCTACTGCATTTTATTTGCGAAAGTATTCCTGTAAGGTAAATTGATTTGTTTCATAGGTCTGATTTGATTATCTTGAATTACCAGACTGCACAGACATGGTTTGGTAGAGGTTAAACAAACAAACTTGCAGTTGTGTTTCCTTTAAGCATGATTGTTATGCTGCATGAAAGCTATGTTATTGACATCGTTGCCCTTATTTTGTATGTCACTTTTCAATGACCTGTACCTTCACTACATGCCTGACAGATTACGAACAACATAGGGATGGTGGAGTTTTGAAACCCCTATGCTGGACAGTGTGCCATGGTGACATTACCTAAAATTTATGTTAAGCACTGGTATGATTAAGCATTGGTGTGTTTTTCAGCATACCTTATTAATAAGTAAAAAGGATGTGAGGTTAATTTCGCTGATTAATTGCTGGTGGTATTGGAGCATGTGGAAGTACAAGACAGGGGTATAGATTGTCATAGTTGAACATTTTTATTGATGATAAAGGTCATATGCATAATTTTAAGCAATGTGTTCTGTACTGATCAAGCTATTACCTGTTCTTATCTTAATTGCATTGAATCTTTTTAATTTGATGATTATATATGCATACTTTGCCAAAGAAACGTTCACTATGGCCATGGCTTTGTCTGCTGTGTTTGACAAGGTGGGTGAGTCCTAAAAAAATTGATCCATGCCATAGATGTCATCATCTTGTTTTTAAGTATTGTTTGAATGAAGTTTTACCCTCATGATGTAACCTAAATGGTCAGTTATGGAAGGCAGGGAACACTTAATTCTTAAAATGCAATGTGCCAAATGTTAACACCTGTGGGTGAGATTTGACATGCACCAGACAATCAAACAATGGAATAGCCACACTGTATGTTGCCCAAAGTAATCCCAGTAACTGGGTGTGCACAAATTGTTGTCTTTCTAGATGTGGAGTCTCCACGCTTTTCAGTCTGTGTTCCTTCCAAAGACACCCCCTGCTGCTCCTTAACTGTCTGTTTCCCAAAGTGTGTTTGTGCTGATTTGAATGTAATGCATTGGCTGTTCTTTCCGATCTGCTCTTAGCTTTCTCAATCTTCACATTACAACGTTTAACTGTAGCAAGCTGCATGCAACATCTTTGCCATGAGGTGGTCAGTGATGTGCTGTCGCCTTGTGATGCCCATCCACAGCACTCGCAGGTTCTGTATGCTAGAAAGCAACAGTGCACCGATGTCGGTCCGTTCCACGGGATCTGCCTCGTGGGGCTCTGCAGGCACATGTCATCCGCTGCCCCATGCTCGTGGTACACAATGCAATGACTGATGCATGGTGCAATGATCAATGTAGTGATAACCTCGGCCACATTGCCCATGTTTTTCACTTCTAAATGTTTTAGCTGCTACAGTTTGCTTTTCAGAATGCTGAAAGCATGTTCAATTTTGACACGTGTTTTTTGTATGGTCTGTTGAAGTGGCACTGAGTGGGGCTGAGGTGATCGTTGTTTCAGGAAGGGGTGATGATCTTCATGGTAAGGGAAAGCTCCTGTCCTCGATGAGGTGTGTGTTAGATGGGATAAGCTGCCGCCGATGCTCCCTGAGGTCGCAGCAGAGGGGGGCCTTCTCCGAAAAAGACACGAGAATCGTGGGCGGGTCCCGGGGCCCTGCAAGTACATCAGTGAGCGCGCCGCGGTGATCACAAGCAGCCAGTAGATGTACTGTTTGGCGATGTTTGTGGGCGTTATGAGCAGCTGCTATCTCCTTGCTGGGTGCATCCATGAAGAGAAAGGACCCGTCGACGGCTGCAACCACACCCGGGTAGCCGGCGCACGCTGCAAAGCCTGCGATAGTTTCATGTAGCCGCGCTCCTATTGGCCACGCGATGGCGTCACTGCGCGCGGCAGCAGCATTCTTGCAAAATGTTGTCAGATACTAGTGTGAACCAGATTTTGAAGTTCCAAACTTGTCGCCAACGGAGTGTTGGGGTACTGGCTCGGTACGATATTGCAGCGCAGGCATCACATCTTCCAACGGACGCTTCTTTTTGCCTCTGCGCTGGCCATGATTGCCATAATAAGGAGCCAGTTTTGCCTAGAGATTTTGAGGAAAAAACTTGCGCAAGGTACGAAACTGCGATTTGAAATCTTCGTCATCATGTCCTGGAACCACGTCATGTACATAATTTTCTGTTCTTTTTAAGTGACCTTGGTGCTTTGGCAGGGCCAGAACCGATACGGTACGGTGCGGTACCGATACGGATACGATACGATCGGCGAGTGCGCCACTGTAATAGTCACTTTCTGGATCCTGTAACATAAACAGTTTGTCTGGACAGCATGATTGTGGGAAAGTGAAAGTGTATCTATGCCTAGAATGCTTTGGAATGTAAAAATACTGCATAACCTGCCGCCACAAGTTTCCATGGATGTTGTTCGTCTGTGTGTCTATATGTAGAACTCTCCTTCAAGCGGCTTGTGGCAATATGAGATTTCTCCCCGCACACGTGCTCCGAGCAAAGCTGTATCCCTGCTTGCAACCACACGCGCCAAGACTCGTCCATGCGTAACAAAATGTATGAACGACCTCAATATGCATGAACGATGATTTTAGCTGGCGTAAGGCGTTAAGTTGCCAGTGCCTGGTGAACTTTGTGTCCGTGAGACGATCGATTGCATGTGGTTACGCGTGCGCAACGCTAGAAATAATGTAGCGTCTTTTTGAGTCGAGGGCGATGATCTGCCATTCTCTGCCTCTGATATTCTCGTTAATGTAAGTCGTTATGGTATAGGGAGATGTGAGAGATACACCTGAAGTATTTGTATATTTGTACATTGAAGTAATTTGACTGCCCCGACTCGTCAACATGACCTCTGCTGCGCGTGAAATGTGTTTGTTGGGAAACAGCTGATTTTACTCGCCGCCATGTTGAGGAGTTACTTGAAGCGTTCTCCATGACGTAGATGACGTAGCTGTGGAACGACATGGGTTGTTACCTGAAGGGGCGGAGCATTTGGCAGCATTTTCCCATCAAGAACGGGGCCCAGGTGTCGGCACGCACCCTCTCTGCACGGCGGACGGAAGAGGATCGCCTCTCGACGGCGTCTTTCGTCTGGACCCGGCCGGACCGAGCCGATCCGAGCCTCGTCGGCGCCGGTGGCGGTGACCGGCGGCGGGCACGGACCGCGCCGCGTCGGCGTCGGCGGTACGCGGGCGGCGCGCACCCGCTGCCCGTCCCGTGTCTCGCGGAAGGGAGAAGCGACATGTGACCTCTCGGTTGATGACGCTGGAGCGGCTCGCTGCACTCGGCAGTTTCAGCGCCGCTATGGTTCTGTTCATACGACCAGCCAATGAGAGCTGACAGCTGCACGGCAAAAACTATCCGATTACTCATTGCCGCCTGCAGGGAGGTCGGCGCCGGGAGAGGATGTTATAACCGCCGTGGTCTTGAAGTACCATCATTATGATCTGCATCGGAACAAGGAGTTGACGCGTCTGCGACGAGCAGAGCATGAAATGAAATAATGTCACTTATGACTATTGATCTGCTTTTAAGTGGAAGGGATCCTCCAGGCAGCACAATCTTTCCATTTAGTAAACATGCTCCTCAATACGGCATTGCTTGATTGCGTCATGGAACGTTTCTATGACGTTGAGGTACCGCCAAACAAGCCGTCGAAGTTTGCAGACCCTGGTAGTTCTTCAACCTCGTCAAGAGATGGCAGCACCGGCAATATTTTTTCGCTGAACCAGATATCGCCATGGGCCTGTCTTATTAAGTTATCCGATTGCGAGTCTTCATTTTGTTATAGGTATCCAGTGAATAAATCATGTCCAACCTCCTAAATTAAGTAGCACAAAGCGTGCTTTGTGACTGAAGCTTGCGCAACTTGTGAGTTGTTCAGTGCATTTTCGAGGAACATTATTCACATAGATAAGACAGCAGTAATAGCCTTATTCCTCGGAGAA